GGATGCTATTCACCCTAAGCTTTTGTACGAACTGGCAATTATATTTTCTGAACCCTTCACTTATCTGTTTGAGATGTCTCTTCGGTATTGTTCTCTGCCTAAGGACTGGAATCAAGCTGTTGCCTGCCGTGTCTATAAAGGTTGGCAAGCATTTACCTACGAATTACTGGCCTCTGACTTTGATGAGCATTGTGGTCAGACTGTTGGGGAAATTGGTAAATGATGGACTTGTGAATCATTTGGAGACGTTTGCTTTGCTCAGCCTATTGCAACATTGCTTTCGCAAAGGTCATTCGTGTCTGACCAATTTACTGATGGCACGCGAGCGGTGGCCAACTCTGCAGATCAGGGTCAGGCTGTGGATGCTCTTTTCATTGACTTTGCTATAGCATTTGATACGGTCCCACATTCTCGCTTTTCATTAAAGCTTCATTCGTATGGAATATCTGAGCAGGTACTTCGATGGATATCGGCTTTCTTGGAAGGTCGGGAGATATCAGAATGTTTTCAAGTCTATCATTCCGACAATCTATCCTCAGTGGGGTTTCACAGGGATCGGTTCTTGGTCCACTATTGTTCTCCCTATCTGTAAACGAGTGGCTCATAGTTTTAGGCTTACTGCCCTCGTGTTCGCCGATGACTTGCAATTCCGATGCCCATTGACCAACGTCGATGGTCACCAGTATTTACAACAGGTCTTTCATAGACTTTGGGACTGGTCTGTTCTGTGGCAAATGCCTATTAACAATGCCTAATGTTCAGTGCTGCGCCTAGGGTCAAGCGATCTTCTCACACGCTATCTGCTTAGAAGACATGCGCTACCTCACGTTTCCCAGCAGGTTGACCTGGGTGTTGTTCTTTCATCTGATTTTAGGTGCCGTTGGCACTGGAAGAAAGCTGCCGGCAAAGGTTTCATAATGCTGTGAATGATCCGCGGCTCGTTCGAAATCATTACACTGGAAATGTTCACCAGACTGTTTCTGGCCTTCGTTAGGCCAGACCTAGAATATAGCGTCCAAGCTTGTTCACCGTGCTTGGTTCGTGATAGGATGTCAGTGGAGCGGGTCCTTAGGATTGGCACACAAATAGCTCAAGGACTACGCCATCTGTCATATCCCGAGATACTCCTTAAGCTCGGCAAGTTTTCGCCGCACTATCGTCAACCTCCTGACGACTTGATTTTGACTCATCTGATTCTAACATGGAAGATTGGCCCTAATTTGTCGGCTTTTTGAGCTAACCCTACAGCCATCTCCGTGGTCATTCGCTGAAGTTGCACAAAGCAATATCCGATGGGGTTGTGACCAACGTTCGACTGTCACAGAGAGTAATTGTATCCCTTAACACATTACCTGAGGACCTGGTGTCATCACAAACATTAAAGAAGTTTGAGCATAAACCCGACGCCCTTGGGCTGCAGTTCCAATTATTCCCTTTCACATCTTAAATTTTCCTCTTAGCTATTATTACTGTTATTACTTTTATATTTCCGATTATTTCCGCCTTTTATTACTTCGTATTTTTACTCCTATTTCACGTGGCCGGCGCAGCGGGGACTACTAGTGCAGGTTCCTTGGGCATTAATTGGTTGACCATTGTGTAACTCGTTTACGTTGCTTTGGCTCTCCCAGATTGCCGAAATTACCGTCGATATGTACCCTGGACCAACGGAGCTTTCACGAAGGAACATGCACTGGAATTTCCCACTGTTTCAATCACACTTGAACACCTCGCAGCCATCCTACATAAGATTTCTTTCCTTCTTTCTGTTATTAATTTGTGGGGCATCTAAATGTATCAGTTGGGAAGAAAAAATACACCAGACTACCCTGGTTTGATTTAAATGCGGGTCAGCTGCTAAACAGACGGTCCACTTGTTGGCGGAGTTATATTTCGACTCAACCAGACGGTACATTACGGTGTTACCGAACAGCACGGAACGCATGTAAGCAGCATCTAAGATACGATCGACTTAGTTGTGTAACGGAATTAGCAAACAGCTTCAACCTACCCGAGTCGGTTTTTCGCATATGTCAGAAGACGAAGGCGTACCAATTCATCGATCCCAATGTTGCACGAACCCAGTGGAGTTGCTGCGCATACTTATTACGAAAAGACCTATCTTCTCGGAAAACATTATGCGAGAACGTTTGTCTTAGAGTCCCCTTACCACCTATCGATTTGAAGGAGGAGTTTCCGGCTAATTCTTTATTGACTGATATCTCCGTATCAAGACCAAAGCGCTTTCACTGCTTTTAGACCGAAATCCTACCAAAGCCACTGGTATCGATGCCATTCATCCGAATTTGCTTTATGAGTTGGAAAATGAAGTTTATAAGTGGGTAACGCTTATATTAACAGGGCTGATAGGCCCAGACCTATCCTAGCTTTTTCATCCTTCTCAGCTACCGGCTTTTCGTAGGCATGCGTTGAAGTCGCAAAAATCTCATCCTGCTCGGGTTTGGGCTGACACTCCTTTGTCACGTAGAGTGATAGATTCCTGGAATGTGCTACCCCAGGACGTCGTGTTGTCACCTACTGGTACAGAGTTTTAATGTCGCTTTGACCCACACAACTTGCAGCTCCGAATCTGCTCGTTCTCTCTTTTTTCTTGTGACTGCTCTTCAGTTCCTTACTTTCTCGATTGCTCGTACTGAATTCCTCTTCAGATTTTGTATTACTCTCTCGCTTTATATCTAGACTACGATTTTATTCTTCATCTTCTCTTTGCACCTGGCCGACGCAGCTGGGTCTGCTAGCGTAGGCCGCGTGGCTTTTGCTTGGTTGATCACGATGTTCTGCACGTGCCGATTTGGCTTATACGACTGGCCAGTTATGTACCGAATTCGAACGTGGATCAACGACGCGTTCAGGATGGAACGACCATGGGAATCATTTTTGTTCCTACCCCATTTCAATTTGAACAAATTTACATTTGTATCTGGTCTTGATGCAGCTCATCGACCACAAGTGACACTTGGTGTACTGTACGGCTGGTTTCTCAAGCGGGACTTATCAATAAACTATGAAAGGTGCTGCACCCTACCGATTGGGGCTTCTGAACCACTTGGAAAATTGGTGGGTTTCTTCTCAAATGCGCCGCTCACCCTGTCTTCACGAGTGTCCATGGAGAGTCCCACTCGCGTCCGTTCAGAGTCCTATCGGATTCCCGAATAGACACTTTGGACGCAAAAACGACACTCAGGAAAAATACGCATGGAAACGGTTTTGAAATGCAAATAAACTAGTGTGCACTCAGACAACTATGCATTCCATATTGCAAACCCGTTAATACTCAGCTTACGTTACTGTTCGCCTACGTAACAATTGTGAAACAGCTAAGAGTGAAATGTAAGTGGTTATATTTGCATAAACCATGCGCTCGAAAAATCAAATATCGGTAACTGAAGTAGAGAGTATTCACCATAATGTATAAAGGAAAAGCCTTTTTATTCTTCGTCAGAGTGTATTTATTCAGAACTACCGACCGTCCCTTGAGTGTCCCATCCTGGACTCCTGAGTATCCACTTGTGCCGAGAGGGAAGGAGAAAAATCTAGGGGTAATAGTTGCACCTGACCTAAAAAGCACGCAGGATACACTGCAATCAGAAGTGTTGTGCCATAAGAAGATCCCTCTCGAATGATCGGAGATTTTCAGGTTTTTTTCACTTCTCTTGTGCGACCAATTCTAGAGTATGGTCTACCAACTCCATTCTCACACTCTAAGCTTGGATGTGCCTTAACCGAAAATGTCAAGAGGCGTGGCTCTAAGTTTGTTGCCAGGCTTCGTGATCCTCCATGCTCCCTCCTGCCTCAAGAGATGAATCTGTTCTCCATGGAATACCGTCGTTGTCGTGGAGACCTCATCGTCACAAGGTGCATATTAAGAGGGGAACTAGGGAACGAGTTATGGCAGCTCTCCCAGCTCATCATAATTTGCTTGACACGGGGCCACAACTGGAAACTGTACAAACCGGGGAGACTCAAAGTCCGCACCGCTGTCGCTCTCTCCACTGGGGTAGTGAATGACTGTAACCGTCTAGCGGAGACTGTTGTTGCGCCGATCGAGGAAACATTCAAAGGGCTCTTGAATACTCAACTACGTAAAACACCTGGACCGTTTTGTCATACTGCAACGGTTCCGGTTCCAAGAGGACTCTCGGGCCTCGACGACAGACGTGCTCCTAGTGCTGAATTGGAGATGATGGAGCTAACGTGGTACCTCCCTTCTGCCCTCCATAAATCAGCGAACTCAACGGACCTTCGACTTCTAGCATAGGAGGCTCAACTGTCGGAATTAGTAGTTTCATGCAGATCTGGCCGATCTTCAGGAGGTTGGTATTCACTTGCAAGCCTTAGAATATTCTAGTATGTTCAAAATCCATGCGATAGTCGATAAAAATGCGTTAGCCGCTGAAACAGTGACTTTTCCAGGATATCCTTTGTCTTCTCCCAGACATATTTCAGGAGCAGTTTCCGGAAATTAACTCAGCACTTGTGAATGCACCCCAGATTGTGCTAGTTTCTTTTCTAAGTGTTAGTGATTCGCCGAGTAAGTAGTATTACGGGCGCCGAGGTAGTTTAGTACAATTGAGATCCCATTGTTAAGTTGACGAGCTTCTGATCTAGGAAACGATAATTTGGTGGCGCTTCTCAATTACGTCAAACTAGCGCAATGCAACCGAGCTACTGTTTTCTGCATTCCTCTATAACCTTGTCATGGATCGCAATTCTACCTCGACAGAGCTAGATTTTAGCATTATTGCTAGCTCAACATTCGCCCTCCTGCTTTCATTTTTAGCGACCTCTTTATTTCACTGGATCCAGTTTCTTAACAACTATGGTTGTACAGTTTCCTCAGGTGTGACAGTTATTGCTATAGCCTTAACTTTTCTTGATATCCTCTGGTGCAATATTGCTCTGAACTTATGCTACCTTCCTGTTGAATTCAAAATTCTTCCAAAGGTATCATATAATTACGCCTTCGAGCTCTCCTTCGGATGAGAGTACTAGAATTGTACTCCGGTGTCGGCGGCATGCATTATGCTCTCATTGGTAGACGAACATGTGACTGCTAACATAGACGTCCCAGAGACCAAACTAAATTTTTCGATTGTCGCTGCAATTGATATTAATGATACGGCTACTTCCGTTTATCGTAGAAACTTCCCGTTTTCGAATTCGATCAACAGGGAGATCGAGGTAAATTCTAAATTAATCTACTTTACTGTTCAGAGTTTGACAGTCCATGAAACGCGTACTTTTGGTGCTGACTTGTGGTGCATGAGCCCTCCATGCCAACCATTTACTAGACTGGGAAAACACAAATGTGAAACGGATGACAGATGTTCCTCATTTATGCATGTGCTCCGCCTTATACCTGCGTACGTTCTATCGTTTCTTGTGTAGATGCTAATAAGCGTGCTCCCAAAGTTTATATTGCTTGAAAACGTCAAAGGTTTTGATGGAACTAAACCTTGGGCAGAATTACTACAAGCACTTATCGACTGTAATTACGTTTATCAGGTCAGTTCCTCTCTTCAATCAAATATTACTGTTTATTATGTCCTTTACCGTCTTGATTGCTAGTCGAAACTTCACTGGCACTACAATTATTGGTTACCATAATCTTTGAGTGTATTTTGTTTCTTTTCGTAAGCAGTCTCTCATGGACGCTGTTTTTCATGATCTCTACTTTTGTCTGTGTGGACAGATTCATAGCTTCTCAAAGACTGTGTGTAACGAACCTCAAACAGGTCCCATTTGATCTCTACAATCACTTTCCCTAGCTGGACTTGCTCTCCACTGCCTTGTGAGTTCATGCTATTGAGCCAAAGGCTCCGACTGCAGTCCATCAAGCGAACCTCCAAATCCTCCACTGCCTTGTGGGTCAGACTGCTGTCATAGGCTAGAAGTAGGGTACCTCGAACAAAACCCTTCTTTTGCAGTGGTCAGCTGAGAAATATCATTTACCTGCTCGACGTTGTTGACAATATTTTCCATTCTTCTTTTTCTTTTTCCTTCCCCTCTCATCTTCCCCCTTTATTTACCAAGAGACTACTGCTGATCTCGAAGCTGCTCACGTCGATACATGTATCTCTTCCATCAAACCTAGTATCTCATCTCACATTTGTTCTTTTTACGTCCGCTCTGTCGACCGGTGGTCAAGTGGTCTGCACGTCTGGCTTGCAATCATTAGGTCACCGGTTCGAACCCACCTAGGAGCGGCCGTCCTCGCGGTATACCCGGGCCGCGCGCGACTTATAGTGGTCGCACGGCAAAGAAGCGCCGTTATCGCGTACAACTGACGCATTATTTTTTACTTTTATTTTTGACGTCCGCACTCTAGGTCCACTCGACCAGCAAGCAGCACTCTTTACTCTTTTGGTGTTTATGCTTACTCTGTCTCCGAAACAGGCATGCAGGGCAACGGTATTGTGACACATTTTCAACTAACTGGTTCCGAATCTGATGACGGTGGCTACGCTCTTCGCGTATCTGGCGATACTGTGTCAATGGCTCAAGGTTTTAGCGGTGTTGCTACGGCCCTCGGAAAACATGCTGAAAGCAATCTACTCGATTCGATGCTGCTGAACAGCCGCATATGTGCGGTTCGACTTCGTACCTCTATTGCGGTTACTGGGCAGCGTCTGAAGGCTAGGTGTCTTTTCATCGCTTCCGTTTGTTCCTCTGCTTAATTGAGTTCAGACACTGTCGGTGAAGATTTCTATCA